AAGAACCAAAGACCAAATATTTTCTCTGATATGTGGATGCTAGTTGACAATAGTGAGGTGGGGGAGAATAGAGATACTTGGAACTAGACAGAGGACAGTGAAGGGAGGGGAAGGAGTATGGGGGTAGGAAGGATAGCAAAATGAATCAGACATTATTACCCCATGTGCATATATGATTACATGACCTGTGTAACTCTACATCATGTACAACCAGAAGAATGAGAAGTTATACTCCATTCATGTATGATGTATCAAAATGCATTTACTGTCATGTATGACTACTTAGAATAAATTTTAATTTTTTTTTTAAATCAAAAAGAGATCAGTAGAGGAAAGGGACCAGGTGTAGGGAGGAGAGAAGGGACAGGGGAAGTACTGGGGAATGACAGAGGCAAATTATATTGTTACATTGTGTTCATGTACAAATATGTAACGACAAATCCCCCACCATTGGGTACAACTATAATGTACCAATAAAAATATGAAAAGTAACTATTGGGCTAAAAAGCTGAAATATGGAAAACTCATGAGATGATGCATGAAGGATCCAACACTAAGGATCCAAAGATGATATGAACAAGAAGGCTCTGCTTCGTTGTGACTGGGCACCTGGTAGACAGGCTCCAGAGCCACAGCATTCCAGGGAAGCCCTTGGCCCTGGGTCAGAGAAGGAGGAAGGTCAGAGCAAGTGGAGGATCATCAAAATAGAAAGACCTTTGTTGGTGAGTTACAATGACTACCCCCCACCCCACCCCAGTTGCCTTGGGAAGGGTGTCTGTGTCACAGTCCTTACTCCTGGTGGACAGAGATGTCTGGTGTCTGGTGTCCCCAGAGCTCAGTGGGCTCCCAAAGCCCACTGCTGGTTCCCTCAACAGAATCCCTGCCTCCCTAGTTAGGTCTGAAGACAGGCTGTCCACCTTGCTTAATAAACCTCGGGCTCTCCAGGGGGAATTTCAATCCACACAAACTGCAACATTTCCAGCCACAGATCCAGATAATCTTTAGATACACATTATGTTCAATATTCCCCGATCCAGTGATCCACAGGCACATTTGCCTGAAAGGAAGCAACTAGGATCTCTTTAGGGGAAGACAGGGCCATTAAGTTGCTAAGAACTCCTTTTTCATCACCTGAGCCAGATAAGAGTTTAAAGTTGATTGCATTTTCAAGCAGAATGACCCTCACACTCAAGTTGAGATAAATATTGCTGCACAAAAGCACCAGCTGCATTGTGGAAATTGGGTTTCTGGGTTTTTTTTCATTCCTCGCAGAAAGTACACTTTTGAATACTAACCATTCCTGACTGGTTAGTATTGCCCTTGAGAGAGAGAGAGAGAGAGAGAGAGAGAGAGAGAGGAAAGAAAAGAAAAGAAAAGAAAGAAAGCAGGCAGGCAGACTAAGAATAAAACCTATTTTCACTTCTTTTACATTTATTACAAAACATTTGCTGTGGACCAGAATATGGCTCCGTGATTGATAGATCATTTGCCCAGCATAGTACGGTGGGGGAAAGCTTGCTATTAGTCTACAAAAAAAAAAAAAAAAGTTGGCACTTTATAAAAAAAAAGAAAACATTTAAAAGCATGGTCACTGCTAGAACTTTGAAAGCTACAAACATCTGCAGAAAAATTGGGGTGTTCAAAATATTTTATAAAATTCTGAACTTTTGAAAAGCTGTTCTCCAAGATTTGGGGGAGAGCACAGCTGTATTTCTTTTCCTAACAAGCATGTTGGATGTTCATTAGGTATGAAATGCATCCTTTAAAAATTAATGGTTGGGGGCTAGGGTTTGGCTCAGTGGCAGAGCGCTTGCCTAGCACGTGTGAGGCACTGGGTTCGATTCTCAGAACCACATATCAATAAATAAAATAAAGATCCATTGACAACTAAAAAAATTTTGTTTTAAATTGATGGCTGGTTGGGCTGGGGTTGTGGCTCATTGGTAGAGTGCTCGCCTAGCATGCACGAGGCACTGGGTTCAATCCACAGCACCACATAAATGTAAAATAAAGATATTGTGTCTACCTAAAACTAAAAAATAAATTTTTAAAAAAGTTGATGGTTGGAATTCAAAATCATATATTTTTAAATCAATAAGAATACAAAATGTGTTGTACAGACTTATTAAAAATATATCTCTTGGGCTAGCAATTTGGCCCAGTTGTAAAGTGCTTGCCTAGCATATACCAGGCCCTGGATTCAATCTCTAGTGCCAAAATAATAACAACAATGATAATTAATAAATTAAAATCATGACTTAAATCTACCTTACTCTAGATTTGACAGATACTATCTTAAAGAGTCCTAGATAAGAAGACCTCTATTTTGATCATTATATTGAGCTCCTATTTTTAATTTAATTTATTTCTGTGGTCTGGGAATTAAGCCACGACTTTGCACATACAAGGCTTGCTCCTTACCACGGAGATACCCCCAATCCTCTAGCTTAATTTTAAGTAATAAAACAATTTAAATAGTGTGTTGTGAACATATAAGTCAGCATTTTCAAACTGTTATAGGCTGTATGTGCTATCAATACTTTGCAACTAAAATGTACTTAAAAATGCATAAAAATATAATATATTTAGGCATTGTTACTAATATAATAATGCACTTTTAAGAAATTTTGTGTCAGACCTGAGACTATCTGGACATTGCATAAAAGATGTTGATTGCTTTTGCATTTGATAACAGAAAAATGATATCACTGTGATCACTTGGTTATTTTTATTATTATACAATATTCTACAAAGTATACATGGATTTAGCATTTACTATTTCATGAATGTGACCATTTTTAAAAGTGTACTTCAACTATAAATTATAACTCATTAACAACTCCTGGTGGCTTTCTGTCAATAAATTATTTAAAAATTCCCCCCTGATTACTTAATCTTGGGAAACACTGCCATAGTCAAAGGAATTCTCCAATCCAAAGTTCAAACTAAATATTTTTATTCCTGTAGTCATTCCACTTAAAGGCAAAGAAGGCTAGGTGTGTAGCTCTGTGGTACAGCATGTGCTTACCATGTGCCAGACTCTGGGTTTAAAGCACCAAAAATAAAATAGATAATAAAGGCAAAGAATATCTGGCAGATTTTGTAGTTTGATGCTAATTCAGATTGTTATTTTATTTCAGTGATCATTTTTTAGGTGACAGAATGGAGCAGGTAGAATTCCTCCCTTCAGTAAGTAATTGTGTTTCTTTGTGTCTTAATGTTTATTTTAACCAAGATTACTGAAAGTAATAGTCTTACCTTTGCCCAAAGGAAGTTTGTTTCAAGTCAGCAAAATTCCATAAAAGGTTAACTGCCTTATTAACCATAATTCTCTGCATATAGTGTTTAAAAATACGGAACAAGGATTGACAAGCTTTCTATAAAGGGCCAGGTGGTAAATATTTTACACTTTGCATATGGTCTTTGTTGCATCCACCCAACTGTGCTGTGCTACCATGAGAGCAACTATAGAGAATACATAAATAAATGCATGTGGCTGTGTTCCAATAAAACTTTATTTCTGGATGTGCACATTTAAATTTCATATGATCCTCATGGCAAAATAGTATTCGTTTCTTGAATTTTTCAACTATTTAAAAATGTAAAGAGGAAACAGGCTTTGGGCCAAATTTGGTCAATGACCCTCTTCTAAACAAAAACATCCCTTCTTAAACATTACCATTCCAAAACTAATTGGCAAAGCTAGCTTTGTGCTGGAAAACTTTTTAAAAGCCTAAATTACCAAAGAAGGATTACCAAGGTATGGTGGAATTAGGTCCTTACCCAGGATGCCCACCTGCTGCCTCATTCCGGGCCAAATCACCCTGGCATCCACAGCCACCCAGAAGCGAGTGACCCTGTGCCTGTGGTGGCAGTACAGAATGCCCATCTGGGTCTCAGCAGCATTTACGTGCTGGGCATGTTTCCTGGTCCATGAAGGCACCACTCCTCTCAGTGGCTCTGAAAGGGACACATCCCCCACCCTCTGCACTTGGAGTCCAGCCCCTAAGAGCCCAGCTTCTCTGACTGCTAATGGCCTAGTGGGAGTCTCCTGCTGTTCTGTCTGTACAAAGGAGGTTGGGACAAGTGTGACAGGTCCTTGAAGCTCACAGCTGAGGCCTACTTTAAGGCTTACTCTAGCATTTTAATTCACCAAACATCTTACTATGGCAGGGGGACAGAAGGCTACCCCCAAATCATTGCAGAAAGCATTTTTTTCACAATTAAGGAATCTGGGCTCTTCTACACCAGAGAGGGAAATGTGCGAATACTGTTTAACAATTGTTAAAGTGCGCTTGCCATCCGCTGAGTAAAGTCTCCTGACTGCCAAGGCCTCCCCAAACACTCAGGAGCTAAAATGTAAAATACAGCCTCTTACTTCTTAAAAGGACATTTGTGCACAATCCGAGAAGTAAATAATGTCAAGTCTGGGCAGTCATTTTCCAGATTCCATTTAAAAGAAAAGGACAGTCTGACCCAGCCACCACCCAGTTTTCTCTGAGAAACAGAATGGGGTATTTAGGTTCCTCGCGTGCACAGTCCCGTGGTGCGCGGTGGTCGGGCGCTTTATTCTTTTCCCACTGGTCTCCATCGAAAGATGAAAATATGACATCTCTTTGTTAAAAACAAGTCATAGAGCCACAGGTACGGTAGCGATCAGGAGTTGAGAGCCCGTTTCTTGGAGTTTCTGCTTCAGGACTTGGGGATTTCTTCCCATTCTGACGCAGGCTGGGAATTCTAAAGGCCATATAGGAAGGTAGAAGCAACAAGAAAACTGAGACCAGAGAAGTTGGGGGCGTTGCCCAGTTTCACAGTGCTAGCTCCTGTATCTGCTAGGGATTCCAGATACGGTTTAGCGATTCCCTCCTTTCGCTTCACACTCGTTCCAGACCGACGACGCTCATCAAAGCATCCCAGCCAGTGCCTCGGGAGCAGCCGCCTGAGCTCGGTTGTGCTGGTCAGCCCCTTCCCTTCCCTCGTTCCCGCAAAGCGCTTTGGGCTCAGAGCAGATTCGTGGGGCGCGCGTAGCGCAGTGTGTAATTAGTCCCCGCGTTGTTGTCCCAATACTCGCCCTGCTCACAGCGGTAGCAGACTGCAAAGTGAACGGAAATATCCTCCCCTTCCTTGGGCTGCAGGCCGGGGGGTAGGTACAGCGAGAAGCGGAAGCGTTCTGCGCCCGGCTCCTCCTCAGCATCCCCAGACCCTGGTTCAGAGGCCCCCGACCGCGCTTCTGTTGGCTGCAGCTCTGCTGGCACGTCCAGGAATGTGCGCCACTCTGTAAAGGTGTAGCGCACTGTCACAGCCCTGGGCCCCGGGCAGCCCAGCACCCTACCAGAGCCCGTCACCTCCGTGCCCGAGGGTGCCGAGCACTGCACGCACTCCAGGCACACGCGCTGCTGTCGCAGGCGCTCCGCTGCAACGCTGTGTCCCGGGAGCTGGAAGAGAGGCCGGAGTCGGGCAGGCGGCGCCGGGAGGGAGGAGGGCGCCTGTGCCAACAGGTCCCCGAGCTGTTCCAGACGCTCCACACGCACCGGGAAGCTGCGGAGGCGCGAAAACACGGCGGGAGGCACCTGTGGTTCCTCAGCCTCGCTGAAGTGCTTCACGCTGGCCAGGCTCAGCCCCAAAGAGTCGGCGAACTGCACCCGCTTCTTGCAGCAGTCGCCGGGGCTAAGCAGGACGTCCTCAACTGGCTCACCGCTCTCCGCGCCCAGCGGAAGGGCCTGCTGCTGCTGCTGGCGCCGCTGCAGGAGCTTGGCCGCCTCTAGAATGGGGTCTGCCGGCATGGAGAAGGAGCGCGCGCGAGGGCGGCGGCATTCCAGGGGCTCCGGCTCCGGAAGAGGCGCCTCTTCCTTCGGTGACAAGGGCCTGTCTTCGAACTGAACTTCAGGGCTCCAGGCTTCCGAAGTGCCACTCTCCACGCAGAGGACCTCCGGGGTTGGCCGCCCCTCCGCGGGTGGAGGTTCTGCAAAGGGCACAACCTCGGAACTTTGCAGCTGCGTCTCGGGAGACTCCATGACACCATCCGGACCCTGGGCTTGTCCCTCCGCGGACACCCGGCTCAAGAATTCTCTGGAAACATCTCTGTGCAATTGAAGGAGTGAGCAGCGCCGCCCGCCGGGGCTCGCTGACCGGTCGCCAGTCCGCCCGGAAGAGAAGAGAAGAGGTCCACTCCGAAACCACCAGCTTTTAGCTGGTGCAGCTCAGGACGCAGTGGGAGGAGGACGAGGGCCTCAGGCCAGCTCGGGAGTTGAACCTGCCCGCCGCGGGGGAGGGTCAGGGGCGGAGAGGAGCTGCCACCAGAACACCTGGACGCCTGCTTCGGAATGCACGGGTAGAAAGTGACAGAAAGATTTCTGAAGGGCGCGGTCCGGGTTCCCCTCTTTCTCCACTCACTCCCAGCGGGACTCGGGTCTGTTCCACCTCTGGAGCGTCCCGGGTGGAGGACTTGCGCTCAACTTTGAGAGACCGAAGCGTGGCCCACGTTTTCTTGCCCCTGAAGTCGACCTGACAGCTCTGGCTTCTGGAGGAAGATCGTCCTCCTGGCTGTCATCGATCTAGGGAGTCCCTGTCGCAGGCAAACTTGCCTATAGGGAACTTGGAAAGCTGCAGGTCCTGCGCGGCCCAAAAGTGAGGGGTGCATCTCTGCCCCCACATTTAAAGGCGCCCCCGGATCCAATCTGCGCGCTTGCCTCTGGACCCGTAGCCCCCACCTACCTGCCCAGTGGCGGCACGGGTGGGCTCGGGTCCCGTCTGAGCCGCGGATCTTGCCGGGGCGAGCGGGAAGCGGACGCAGCCGCCAGCGCAGAGCTGCGGGAGGCCATTCGTTCTAGGCCTAAGAGCACGTCCCCGCCCCTCCCCTGGTCCCGCCCGCGAGTCGGCTGTCCCGGCTGGCTGGGGAAGCAGCGGAGGGGGGCCCTGCGGGTGCTGGCACCCACGTGGCGCACACCGCCTCCCACCGCGGCCGGACGCTTTTGCCACAGAGTGGGCGCCCGACTCGGCCGCCCTGCCCATCCGAGCCGCGACAGTCCCTTGAAAAGGGCCAAAGCCAAGCCTGGGATGTGGAGGGGTGGATGAGCGCCTCATAGTATCTGGGGATTTCGAGAGTTTCCAAAGTAGTATTTTTGGTTTTGTTTTGCTTTAAGGCCAGTTTTTCCTTAAACTTGAGCGCGCGTCAGCATCACGGGGCGGGCCAGTCGGAGCAGATCTCAGCGCCGCATCCCCAGAGTCCGATTCAGTAAGTCTGGGGTGGAGCCTGGAAGTGTTTCCGCCAAGGAGATGCTTATGCTGGGCTCTGGGGACTACACTGTAATTAACCTATATGGATGTGTGTACAATTACTTATGTAAAAGTTGAGATTCTTTGTGATTCTGCAACCTGTACACTCAGAAAAATGAGAGATTATATCCCATCTGATTCAAATGTATGATATGTCAAGGTCTTTGTACTGTCGTGTATAACTAATTAAAACGAATAAAAAATTTTTAAAAAGTTGAGATTCTAGAAACATTGATCCACTAATCAACTAAGCAAGAAACATAAAAAAGCAAATATAACTTACCCAGGTTATTTAACGGAGGCTTAGTTAAATAAGTTATGTGTTGGCAGATTTAAAGGGGCGGGGTTTTTAGTGCGTTGATAGGGGAGAGAACAGATAAAAGAGATGGTGAATGGAAGATTATGAAAGGATCATTTTAATGGCTAATATTTATTGAGCACCCACTGAATACCCCATCAGTGCTGAGGGCTCTTCCTGAGCTATCTGATTTGCAGAACAACCTTGTGAGGTGGAAATCATATTATCCTATTGTACATATGGGATATAAAGACCTAGAAAGATTTTTTCATTGACTCATGAGCCATAGTTTGGTTGTGGTGGGATTTGAATCCATAAATTAAAGATTTCTACCATTATTTGAGATGCTGATCCAGGGGTGGTTTCATGAGAAAGGGGCCTGATGGTTCCTTTGCTGGGATCTTGCTGGTCATTTTGCGCCCTATATGGAGTTCCATAATTTCATCTCAACTGTGTGTGGGGCTTAAAAGAAGTTCAAGATACATGTTGCATATCTTCCTGGAACAACTGCATGATTTGGGGAAGAAGACAATCTCTTGATGTATCTCATTACAGTATTAGGAAATTTAATATAAAAGTCACAAAATAGTTTAAAAATATAGAACTTCAAAGAGATAAGAGGTTGTGATGACTCTCTGGTCCACCACCATCATTGGAGACATGTCCATTCCACTCTGGGGCCAGGACTAGAGGACGAAAGTGAGGTGCTTAGAACACAGAATTTAAGTAGTCATCACTCCCAGGGGTGTGCCAGTGCCCTGGTCCTGGCTCCAGCCCACATTCCTCTCTTTGATGGAAATGTTAGAGGTCCCCAGCCTCATGGAGCTCTCAATATATTGGAGGAGACCAGCATTTATGTAAACTCAGCCCTTGGGCACAGAGTGGAATCTTGGAAGTTACAGGACTAGAGGGGAGACATTCAAAGACTCTGTGCAGACGCAGCATGGAGGGAAGAACCGAAAGAAGGCCCTTGTGGCCTCTGGACAGACAGCAAGGTAATCCAGCTGAAGAATACAAAGGTAGAGAGGGTTTAGCTTCTTGACCTTGAAGCCACTGAAGAGTTTTGAACACTGAAGAGTTCCTCCATATTTAGTAGGTTTGAAAAAAAAAAAAAACAGAAATAAATTTTGCAAAGGCCATTCTGGATACAGAATGTAGATCGCTGGGGGCAGGACAATGGGGTGAACCTGATAAGAGGCTATTGCAATCATTGCAAATTGAATTGTGATTACACCCAGATTGAGAGATGATGGTGGTATGGATAGATCTGAGAGCTTTCTAGAGGTGAAAAACACATTGCACACTATGGATTCACACAGGGAGGGAACAGGGGGAAGGAGGATCCTCTTAGGATTTGGACTTAAAGTATTTGGACTTAAAGCAGTAGTAGTCATTGGGGTGGGAACTACTAAAGGAGGAATAGATAGAGGAAGGGCATGATCAGAATTCCATTTTGGGACACGTTGACCTTAAGTTCTTGGGTTCTTTCTGGCACCAAATAGTGCCTTGTGTGACACCAGTTTTCTGATTCTCCAACTGGGTGTCCAACAATTCAATTCTAAGATGCTCTTCCTGGAATGAATGTCAGATTCCGCAAGTTAAAGGCCCACAAGACTACCTCAACTTCAGATGCCAGGTGCAAATGAGGTGCCCAAGTGACCCACATTCCTGCCTGGCCAGCAGGAATTCAGGAGTTCCCGTTATGTTCTCTTTCGGTTTTGACAATTCAGTAGAACAATTCACAGAGTGTAAGAAAACACTTGAGTTTGCCAATTTATTATAAAGGATATAACCAGGAAATAGCCAAATAGAAGGGACCCAAGGCAGGCATGGGTGTGGAGCTTTCCTGGCTTCTCCAGGCCCAGCATTATCCCAGTCCCTCCATGTGGCCTCCAACCTGAAAGATCCACAAACCTTATTGTTCATGAGTTTAGGAGCTCAATCTCCAGTCCCTTTGCTTCCTGGAGGTCAGGGCTGGGACTGGAAGTTCCAGTCTTCTAATCACTTCTTTCTGGTTACCAGTCTATTCTGAGGCTCTCTAGGGTCCCCAGTCTATGTCACCTCATTAGCATAAACTCAGGTATGATCAAAAAAAGGGTCTCTTTATAAACAACAAAAGATTTGGTGGTAAAAAGAATAACAATAACCACATAAGAAATGACAAATCTCCTAACACTCAGAGACTCCAAAAGTTTTAGGAATGCTTTGTCAGGAACCACGGACAGAGAACCAAATGTATGTCACTGAGCCAGACCCTTCTGTCCTGTTCTTCCCTGTGTCCATCACTGAAATGATGAGTTTTGCAAAAGAGAGTTTACTCATGAAGTTAAATATGAACAGGGAATTCCTCTCAATTCTGCCACTCCAAGGACAGGGGTTGGAGGGTATTTATGGGGAAAAGAGGCAGAGTGATCTAAGGCATGGGGACAGTTGACTGGAGGTAAAATCATGGGTGGTCCACGCATAACACACGTTCAGAGAATGCAGCATTCGCATGATCTGAGGGCAGAGTTTTCAGCCCTCTGACATCAAAAGGTCACCCAACATACACCTGCACAGGTTCAAGTAAAGAGTCAGTGGTTTCAACAACAGTGGCCTTCAAGTCCTTGAAAAGTAACCTCGGCACCCGTTATCACCATGACCCCCATGTTACAGGCATATCAACAACAAAGGTAATGGTGAGTTGATTGTATGTTACTCAGCTCCGTGGCCTCCAAAATCAGTGCTTCATAAGTCAACTCAAAACAAGTAACTAAAAGCAAGTGAAATCAGATCTGAATTTTCCCTCAGTTTTAAGGTTTAAAGCTCAGAAAAAGAGGAGAGGAAGCTCACCCGAGCTTTGAGCCACTCTGGCATGTCAAGGTCAGGGGAGAAGGATGAGCCTGCCACGGGGATGAAGAATGAGCAGCCTGAGGGTGGGAGGGAACAGGAGAGAGTTGTTCCCCAGAGACCAGGGAAGGCTTCAAAAGTAACAGTGGGGAGCACTTCACTCAGGGCCCATGGGGACTTTGCGATCCTTTCCCTTTTTGTTGGTTGATACCAGGTATTGAACCCAGAGGTGCTGAACCACTGAGCCACTTTCCCAGCCATTTTTATTTTTCATTTTTAGACAGGGTTTCTCTTAAGTTGTGTAGGGCTGTGCTAAGTTGCTGAGGCTGGCTTTGAACTTTCGATCTGCCTCCACCTCCTAAACCACCTCCTTTGCCTCTTCAAAGGTGTAAAAGCCATCGTGGTCTCTGGCTCCCATCCCACATATCTGCTCTGGCCCACCTGGTGAGGCACACGGCTTCTCTCCCAGGTTTCAACCCCAAGACAGAAGACAGGAGTTCTCTACTGTAAGGGTCTGGATCCCTGAAGTTAATGCAGATGGTCCCTGACATAGGCTTGCTTCAACTTTGAATTTTTCAACTTCATGATGGTGCAAAAGCTGCACATGTTCAG